ATGTAAATTAAGAAAGATAAGAGCAGACTATACTTGTAGAATTTATAGAGGTAGAAATGATTCTCATCACTAATATTTAAAAGAATTAACATATAGACAACTAGTAAGCTGAGTTACACCAATAGATTGTTATAGTATATTTAATGATTAGGAGAATTTACCTTCCTGCAATTATTTGAAAGGTTTCCAGATGGATTAGATTAATACTCTAAAAGGTGAGTTAGATATATATTTACCTAGCTTTGAAAATATTGTTTACTTTTGATGAAAAAGCTGTCGAACTAATGTTAGACTAGGTAAAGATAAAGAAAAATAGATTAATTCTGCTGATATAATAATAATACTCACTATAGGTCTGGCTGATCAGGTAAAACCATTCAAGCTCTTTAATGAAAATTGATACGTAAAGAGTTAGAGGATCCTTTCAGAGCTAGAATATCATTTATTAGTTATTAATGTTATGCAAATTTTATTTTTTTATTTAAGCAAAATATAGCATATAGAATATATTGCAAAAATGATAATCAATCAAAAGTATTCATCTGATAGTACACCTAGTAAGCAGGAAATTATCAGATATATAGAGAAATTAGACCGAATAAATAGACTAGATAAGTATATTGCAGAAATATATAGTGTAATCTCTAGTAAAAAATAAAATATTAGTTATTCTTGATATATGAAAGCTTAAAAGGAGGGTTAATCAACTAAAAATTATGTAGAAGAATGTATAGACTACCTAAAGGATGACGTAAACAAACTACCTGCTATGAAGTATTGCAATTGTAACAAAGAATCCATAAATAGTTTATTTCGTAACACGATAAAGCATTGGTATAAAAATGCATACCAAAGGAATGAAGTAAATATTCGCTTGGGGTGGTTTTTGTATAAAGGGTACCACCAGTCTTTTTTGTTTTTAGGCGCATAATGGATGGAATATTCTATACAGAAATATTGAAAAGGCATCTCCCGGAAGTGCGCAGTATGTTACGAAGTAATTGGCAGCTGCAAACAGATAATGATCCTAAGCATACTAGCAAAGTAGCTAAGAAATTCTTGTTAGAGAAAGTCCCAGATTGACCTTCTCATAGTCCGGACCTAAATCCCATTGAAAACCTTTGGGCAATCGTTAAAAGGAATGTGGAGTTGCGTAGGCCAAAAAATCTTAGTGAATTAGAGCGTTTTTTGGGGAAGGAGTGGGGAAATATTCCAAATAGCCTTATAGTTAATCTTGTTAACTCAATGCCACGGCGTTGTAGGGAAGTTATTGAAAAAATGGTGAACGAATATCGTATTGATTTGTTTTTAATAAAATCTGCTGCGTCTCAGCTTTAAAATGACGTATTATACATTTGAATTGATGCATTACTTGTGAAACTAACGTGATTTTAAAAAAGTTCATTTTTTTTTTGTCACACCACTGTATATACAATTAATTTTATAAAGTAAATCAAAAGGAGTTTATAGTAAATTAGGGGCAAATTTGCTTGTAAACCCTAATCTGAGGACTAATACAATTAAAGTAAGTTTAAATATTTGTAATATAAATTTTAATAGAAAAAAACAATTGAAATTTATTATGACGTATATCAAATATACTTATTATTATCAATGAGAGAACTATATAATATAAAAGAAATTTGAATAACAGTTAATTTATAACTAAATTTACAATATTTAATACAATATCCTATAATGTTCGTTAACGAAGCTTGGTTTTTCAAGAAGTGCAAAACTTAAATATCCATCATGATGCAACTCCCTCGAGATAATGTGAGTTACTCATTTTTGAGGGCTACGAAAGAAATCAACTTTAGCAAAGGAGTTTTGTCGACTTAGGATAAATGCAATATTTTTCGTATCACTTTCATTATGTTGTTCCAAATAGGTGAAGACAGAGATTTAATGAAAGTTATACATGTACGGAAGGAAGTATGTACAACTTTATATGCTAATGGAACTTACCACCATTGTCACTATTTATGATTTAGTTATGATGAAATGAATTTCTTACGTTCCCCAAAATAATTTTACGAAAGAATACATAGTTCCCGATATTGAAAATATTTTTACCCTGAAGTGATTGATTTATCACTTACTTAGTTCGATGGATGCTTTAGGATGATGATGATGATGATGATGATGAGGAAGAGGAGGAGGAGGAGGAGGAGGATGATACTCTTTCACCTCTTTCACCAGATGCGATCTTCGAATTCATCAGATGATTCATCCCTATAAACCCACAATGGTCTTTCTCCCAAAGTATTTAGGAGACATGGGTAAATAATTTAAAGACAAAGGAAACCAACATCCATATAAAAAGCTATTTTGCCTCAAGGATCATAGGTTAGTCGGCACACATGAGTGATTGGTTTTCTTTCTATAACCAAAAATTAATGGGATTTGTTCTCCAGATAAGACTTATTATATTCATTTGGAACCTGCAAAATTGTTCTCAAATTAATCAGTTGATTCTGAATTGTTTTTACCAAAAAAAAAATTTTTTATAAACCTTATATTACTAAATAATAAAATGTATTATTTGCTTTTACCAAGATTTCAGTGATTAAGAAAAATAAGATATTATCATTCGACAACCAAGTCCTTCTATAAATAAGCAATAACACAACATGCGATTTCTTATTCTCGTAATTAATAATCAAGGCCATCACTTGAAAAGAGTTCATCAATGACTTATGTTACTTCATTGGAACGTATTTCATTACCGTTCTTAATATCAGAATCTAACTTTTTTTTTGAAAATATGGAGTAAAGATGCAATGCGTTAGATGAATAAATTTTACTATTTTAGCATGAACTCTAAAAATATTTTATCAATTTCAATTACCTTTATCAAAACCTGCTAATTATAAGATGATTGTTATCCAAATGATATATCGCCGACATATATCATATTATCTAATTGGAACTTTTCGGATCGAATTTGCCCACAATCAGCATAAAAATATATAACAAAGCAGTTTTAATTTTCATTCAAGCCATAAATAAAAATGCAGAAAAACAACCGCTGATTACAAATCGAAAAAAAAAATTTTATTCGATACCGAACATTAATTATTGTTCGATCATCCAAGAATGGAGTGATCTTATTGTTTCGATGGTGAAACAAACTTTAAAAAGGTAAAGTCACAAGACAATTAATTTCAATTAATTTCAAGAAATGTTGTACGAATTATTTTACATTAGTTTCTTCGTTTAATTTGTGTAGATAATTTATTTGTTTTTTTCAGGTTCGGTGAAAAGTTAAAGTAATGCAGTCTAACAAATGATGATATTATAATTGGTACAAAGAACGCACTTTACTTTTCTTGATAGATCAATAAGTATTTTCTTTGTTAGAAAGTTAACCGAACAGTTTTATTTTATTGGTTAAATAAATAGGATTTTCTTTAAGGAATAAACTTGCATTGATATTATGCCATTTGACTTGTATGATTGTTTGGGTTCTCTACATTACTGCGGCAAATGTGCTGCGGTCCGAGCGGCCGAATTCCGAGAGTCATATGATTTACTGTTCACAATTTACTAAAAATTCATATTATTCTTGGTTTGAATTAGAAATAATACATGTTTAACGATTATAAGACTTATTATGAGTTTTGGCATGTGAACGGTAAATAGTCGATTTTTGATTAATGAGGAAATTGTGGCTTTCATAATACTTATTATGATAGGTCTGTAACCTATTATAAAGAGGGTATAATATTATGTTATTAGTGGAAGAGTATTAGAAAAAAAAATGCAAGATATAAAAGGAATGTCATTTTAAATACTTGTTTTATTAGTAGTTTATCAATAATCTATATTTTTAAAGTTCGATCTATTATTCCCGGAGTGGATATCCCTTGAATGGTTAAACCCTTCCTTTTTTTGATGTAAAAAGATCCTACGAATTACCGTCCACGAAATTCATTGTTTGTTAATTAGCCTGCTTGCAAAAGCTTTACCAATTTTTTTTTGAACTAATTTAATAGAACAACAAAATATTTTAGCTTAGCAAGAAATCATTCTACAGTGGAACCAGGCTGTGAAAGAAATCTTTTCGGAAAATAAACCAAAAATAGGTTTCCCAGTTAATACATCCCACGTTTTCTTGCCTTGAATCTAGTAAAAGGGTCTTTTAAGATTCCACGTGACGTTGATTATGTACATTGTGAACTTTTATTATAAAATGACCGTGCCTCCATTTCAGATGTACCAATTTTTTTTGAGAAAAAAAAAAGAAAACTCTTAACATTTTTTTTTGCCGCCGAAAATAAAAATCTTTTCTGAAACCATTTCTTTTTTTCATAAATGAAATAAATATCACCACATGTATTAATTGTATTAATTGAAAAATTTATTTTATATTTTCTTAAAAGAATAAATTGTACATCCTTGTTGTACATAAAAATTACAACTCAAGTTTTAAGTTAAAATACTTTACAAACAAATTCATCAAAAGACGCATTACGATTCGTACAATCGACCTGCAAACTACTACAAATTATATACGAAAAGGTAAAAAAGTGTAAAATTAATTTAATATTATTTGTTAGTTTACCTAATCGATAATAATAATAATGATACATTATAATAATAAATAAATTGAAACTTTGGAGCTTTTCTTCTCAATAATCTTCTTTTGCTTTTTTTTCTTTTTCTTTTCCTTTTTACTGTCTTTTCACTTTCACATTCCTTTACACTCCTTTACTTTACGATTTTAATCCATTTAATCCTATTTCTTATACGCACATCCCCATACCATCCATTACTTCCCGATTTATCTTATTTGTGATATATTCTCAAACCTATTTTCCTCATACCAATATAATTTTTCTATCAAGTTAAAAAAAAAAATATATAAATATTTTGAAGCAAAGTAATAATAGCTTTACAAAATTCAAAATTTTACATTTAAAAAAAGAAGAAAAATTATTCATAACAAAAACTTTCGTTTTTTTCAACTAAAACGATTTTGTTTTTAACACACAGCAATGAACTCTTCGGTAATGGAATTACCAGAAAAAATTTCTCCTCGTCACCAGTCCATTCCATTATTCACCACAACTTCCTTCAATGGAACCATAGACGTCGAAACAATCAATAGTCGGGAATTTAATCCAAATCCAAAACGCTTCACAATGCCAGCTCCAGGTTCGCTTGGAAGGCGTGGTTACCAAAAGCCTACGAAACCTAGGGAATTTGCTAAAAGTGCAAAGAAAAGACAGAGCGTACTTGCTTTAGGTTCCATAACTCACTTACAACACTTTTACGCTAAACGTGGTATAATCATAAAACCAAAGAAACCAAAGCACGTGTAAGTATTCCACGAGGCGTTATCTTTTTCACGTGTATAGGAATTTTATAATTTTATACCAACTAATATCATACTAGCATGTTATCTTTACGTTAATTTTTTTTTAATTTAATATTTTTTTTTTTTTTTTATATAGAGAGGAAGCAGAAAAGAAAAAAATGGCCCTTAGTATAAATACGAATTTTTCAGATTTACTCAAGGTTACAGAGGAACCAGAGGAAGATTTACCCCCAACCCCACTTCCACCATCACCACCCCCACTTCCAGCTTACATCACTTCTAAATTAGATGTGGAAACAGATCCAGAAGTGTTACTTGCTATATGTCATGGTGACATTCAAGCCATGTTAGATGCATGGTGTATGGTGACTGGGGAAGTGAAAGCCGAAGAAAATCCAGTGCCTGTTGATATATTAGCGGCCATAGAGACCACCACAAAAGCTGTTCAATCGGTAAAAAATTATTCCTTGTTTAAAGAAGATTTATCAGCAGAATCAATGTCAAAAATTCGTGCTACTGCCTTGGAAGTATTGGAGATGATTAGCGATTTAGAGCAATCACACAGAGATGATGATGATAGTAGCAGTGAAGATGGTCATATATACAAAGAATCAAATTTTCATTGTTTAGATAGTCAACGTGATATATTGAGAAGATATTTGGTGGTAGTTGAGGAATGTCTATTATTTGATGATTGTGATGTGTATCCTCCAAATACATCTTATTTCAAAAATTCATCGGTAAGCTCAGATGATGAATCGAAACAAGGAACTACCCCTTTTACTCCTCCATTATCACCCGGTCATCCAAATAACGATTGGGTGAATCCTGATGTATTTGGTGATAATGTTTTTGCGAGATATCATGCTTTCTTGGAAGTTCATCGTCCTTCAAAATCCAAACGATTTCCTGATTACACACCCCTTCCCAATCCTAGTCTCGATAAAACCGAATTCTTGGCTTCGTTGGCGTGAGTATCCTATAATACTCTGTTTTATGAAATTTATCTAATAAATAATTATATATTTATTCTTTTTTTTTTAAAAAAAAAATTAGTGACGGTAAATTATTATGTTTTATTTATAATACGATAGTAAGACGATCGAAACGACCATTTGGATTCATCGATAAAATTCATGAGGATACATCAAGAACTTATCGTGCTACGGAAAATTTAAAATTTTTTGCTGCGTAAATATCTTAAAACATTCAAGGTGTTGTTCATTCAGTATAACGATAATTATATAATTAAAACATTTTGTTAATTTAAATAGTGCCGCCAAGTTTAGATTTGAGCTTAAATTTGATGAATTTAATGTAACTGAGATTGTCAAATTAACGAATGTTGGAAAAGCTCAAGTAAGTTATAATTTTTTCATTAATTACATTTCCATTTCATCGTTACTTTACTTACTTTTCCGCTGGTTCGTCGGATATATAGCTTGAACGAATTCTTGAAGTATTTTGCGAAAAATCCATGCAAGAGCTCATATCAACAGGATCTTATAAACAATATCCAGGATCAAGAATATCCAGCATGTATATGCAAGAATCTCTTTCAAATTCACAAATGCAATTACTTCAGCAAGCAACGACAAATTCAGCTAATGATTTGGCTGCAGCTGTATCTGCTAAGTTGTCGATTCGTTCATATCGTTACGCGTCATCAACAAGTTCATCATCCTCAACATTATCAAGGAAGACTAGTGATGATGAAATTAAGAATTGAAATATTCAAGATAATATTTTCTAGAATGAAATGAGATAATTGAAGAAAAAAAATGGACATTGTTTATGCCAAAAAAAAAAAAAAAAATAGATATATATATATATATATATATATATATATAAAATAAAATGATTGTTTTGGAAAAAAAATTCTCAGTGCTTTTGTGTGGAGTTAATTCCTTTATATACATACATATTATTATTACTTATGATTTATTTCTCGCTGGACGGAGATTACATTTATATTTTTATTATGAATTATATTATATTTTTATTCTTGCATTACATAATATATATTACCAAATTTAGTATTTTATTAATATTTTCAACTTACAAAATTAATGACGTTTTCTTCTTTTTGTATAGCTTTTTCTTTTATATTATATTAGTATTTTTTTTTTTTTTTTTTTTTTTTTTAAAGAATTGTTAAAAGAAAAAATTATTTGTAGGAACTTTTAGTTACAATAATCTTTTACTATTTTTAAACAAAAAAAAAAAAAACTTTCAAATTAAATGATTTTTAGGAAAAAGAATCGTTGCGTAGATCAGATAGATTAGCCAAAAAATTTCACCGAGTGGTGGGGTTTAATTTACCTTTGTTTTGTGTATTTTTATTAATTATTCTTGGGTAAAATATAAATCCAAAATTTTATTATTCAAAAATTAAAAAACCAAAAAAAAAATCATTAATCTGCAGAGAAATCTTGTAAAATCCCGTAAATCCTTGTGTCCTTGTGGTAAACAAATATGGTAAAAGAATATTTCCATTTTGTAATATAAATAAATTATTTATTATTTGAGAAACAACAAATAAATTGTTTCTCGACATTTAATCTAGAAAGTTTCTTAAAATGAAATGATAAGCTCTTTGATTGGTTTAATTTCACTTCATTGACAAGTGTAACCATACTTAAACAATTTTTCCATATATGTACTCGCTCTTTTAAATCTTTTTAAACGTTTATTCATCTCGAAAATATTTCTTGTTACATCATCAAAATTCATTATTTAATTTTCTTTTTCGAGATCGAAAATCAAATTCAAAAGTATAAACAAATAATCATTTATTGATATAAAAGGTTAAACATGTATATATATGTGTGAATATATGATACTTTCATGTATCATTTGAAGTTCCGCATGTGATTCTATTTTTTTTTTTGAAAAAAAATTCTCTATATTAACCTAATTTTGGTAAATCCAATAATCCGACTTTTTTTTTCATGATAAAACGCGTATTATCTTGCAGAGAAAGAACTTTTTTTTTCGTGTCCGTTCACCTAAGCAAAGTAATAATCTCCAATCTATATAATGCAAGTCCTTGTAAAATAGGAAGGAGTTAAAGTCTATTATATGATAAAACAATACGTAATAATGCAAAGATCCAAGATGTTTGTGACATTACTAGATTTAGTAGTATAGTGTAAAACATAATAAAAAAAAAATAAATAAATTTGTTATACGTTAGCATTTCGCATCACATTGCATTACATAATTAGGCTCATTCATTCAACAACCTCAATCTCTAAAGAATTTCCTTGATAACATAATACAAGTCTATTTCGCCAAAAAAAAAAAAAAAAAAAAAAAAAGGCTTTAAATATAACCCACCCACACACACAGGGAAGACTTTGAAATATATTCGTCTACTTAACGTTATTTCATTATTTTTCCTTTTTCTTTCGTTTCCTTCTCTGACGAATTGAATCAAAATAAATCGTTTTTATCACACATATATAAATATATATATCATATATATTCATTTTTCCGACCAAACAAATTAATTTAATTGAAAGAGTAGGGGTTTTAGTATTCAAAGCAGGATTTAAACTTTTACCCTAGAATTTACCGATCGTATGCCAGCACGACGTAAAGCAGCGGAATCAGCTACAACGCCACGAAAGACAAAGGATAGTGCTGGCGATAACGTTGGAAGTTCACCAAAGTACATAGCATACGTGAAAGAACGTTCAACCGTGACTAGTATACAAACACCGGACGTAAATCCTTTTTCAAGGGAAGAAGCAATATATTGGAAATTATCTTTTCCTCGTCAGGATGTTCCTGATATCAGAATGACTCCTCCTCCAACCGGAAACCGTGAGATCATTAGGGGAGGAGTTGACACCAATCAAGGAAACAATCCAGGATTTGTAAGCCAAAGTCATAATTCTGCATGGTCGCAAGCTATCAACAATAAATTATTAAAATATTTAATATTCTTCACCATGCTATTACCAATTTTATTAATATTATCAAAATCAAAAGCTCTGGATGAGAATCAAAGTTTTTTGGAATATTTTCCAGAACATTTACGATCAGCTAAACTTTTATTTTCGCAAGTGGATACTGAGACATATAAAATTCAACCAATTGGAGAGAATGACAAAAAAAATAACGATCGTGATCATAATCTCGATGTTAATAATAGCGTAATATTTACATTAGAAGACTTGAGAAAAATCATTGTGGAAGAAGTAAAGAATCATGTCAAATCCGAATATGATAAAGCTTTACCATCAACGCCGATTGAACCAAGTACCGAACACCTCCGTAATTTGATAAGCCATGAAGTGAAGCAAGTTACCAACGAAGTTAAAAACGAAGTAAAAAGCATAGTGACATCAGAAGTTAAAAGGGAAATAGCTATTCGTACGGGTTCGAGGTCGAGAGGACTTAAAGGAGCGGAAATGATGGAAATAATACGTCAAGAAGCGAAGAAGGTGGTACTAGAAGAATTATTAGTATTCTCTCAAGACAAGATAAACAAACCAGATTTCGCATTACATTCGAGTGGTGCCAATGTGATCAGTAAGTTCACAAGTAAAACGTATGAATTATGGCCTGATAAATGGTATAAAAAAGCATTCGCGTACTTATCAGGACAGGGTATCATACGCGGTAAACCACCTGTGACGGCGATTTCTCCCGATACTCATGTTGGGCAATGCTGGCCATTCTCGGGATCCGAAGGTCAATTGGCGATCTTACTTAACAGGAGAGTTTACGTTACCGCGGTTACTTATGATCATGTTAGCAGAAATGTTTCGATTGATGTAAATTCGGCTCCAAAAGAATTTGAAGTATGGGGTATAATCGATGATGGAACGGCTAGTAAAGAAAGTGAAACAGAAGAGAATGAGGATTTAGATATCGAACCATTTGAAGAAAATTACATGGAATCAATCGAAGAAGAATGTGGTATAAGACAAGAAGGTGAATACGAACCCGATAAGGATTATCACTTGCCAATGAATGGTAATTCAAATGATGGTTTAGGCGAATTGGATCTTAATATAACTAGGGAATTGCATTTAGGCAAATCTCCTCTACATTTATTCTTGGGCACATATGTTTATAATATTAGTTCTGTACCTGTACAAACTTTTGAAGTGCCCCAAGATATTTTGGAATCGAATAAACCGGTTAGAGCAGTTATCATGAAAGTTAATAGTAATTGGGGTAAACCTGGTTATACTTGCCTATATCGTTTCCGTGTACATGGCAATCCTGTCGATAAGTTGGATAATTAATTTTATATAATTTTTTTTTTTTTTTGTATAAAAGTATATATATATATTACCTTATTATTATTATTATTAATGACGATAAATAAAAAAATGCACACCCATATCAGATATTTCATATATTTTTTTCCCACTCCAATAAGAAGTGATAGCATTCACTTTTTGACATATTTTTATGCCCACGCAGGCTTTTCGTGCATACATAAAATCTCCACACAAATTTCATGCAAGTCACGCCGCTTTTATTACTTGTTTATTGCATATTAATTGCATCATATTATCTAATTATAATCGTATTAGATTCATTTATATTAATTTATATTAAGTCGTATTATCTACAATCATTTTATTTACATATTATTAAATTCTATATAATACACATAAATAATTTCTATGATACAAAAATAATCTATAACAGTAAAAACCATAACTAAAAAATTAATTATTAATTATTAATTAGATTATTTTTTCCTTACCTTAATTAATTTTACGCTTCACCATCATAAGTATAAAAACTTCAATAATATTACAAATTATTGATGTAATATTTTGCTTTTAAAATCGGCCTCTATTCTTTCTTTTCTTTCTATTGTATTTATATTACTATTGTCAATATTTCCCATTCTTCTCTTCTTCTTCCCATAACCCTAACCCATCAACATTTTGATATAAACATGCATTAACTATACCAATTGGTATGTCATGCAATTCTGGAACAAAATCATCAGTTATGCCAGATAATTGTGATAAATTCTGTCCCACGTTTGCATGATCGTCTAAGTTCATAATTTCATAAATGAATATTGATTTAATTTATCGAATTGTGCTGAATGTATCTTACCTGTTATGGTATGATAAGAATCATATGGAGCCGTGTTTAAAAAATTGATTGATATCAATACTACATAAATAAATAATGATAGTACAAATGACCAGACTGGTAATGCAAGTGCCCAATACCTGAAATATAATAATTAATAAATATTTTTTTTTTTTTTTAAAAAAAATATATATATATATATATACCTATCCGGATAATAAGTTATTCCTAATGATATTAATATCTCATCTGGTAAATATGCCCATAACAAATATATCACTAATAATTTCAATTTCGATCATTCAATTTAATGATCATAAAAAATAAAAAAGAATATTGCCAAGTATTTTTTTTTGAAGATATAAATTACCGAATGCGATAAATGAAGATAAATACAGAACGAATCCGTAATATTCGTACGTCGGTGTTTTAGTTAATGTTGTTGGCGACTCGTCCGTTTGATACATATTCGTCATGCTATAATAAAATTTATCTTTTTCAAATTAGAACTTAATAGTTCCCTTATGAGTAATAATAGTTAAAAACAACAAACTAATCATTGATAGCTTACCCAGAAGCATGATTCTTAAATCGATCATTTTGTATAATTGAGGTTGAGACTTCATCTTGTTTCACGGGATAGTTGTTATTCGACGTAGTTCTCTTGAGCCTTCAAAAATTAATTAAAATAAGTAATCATATTAAAAGTCAAATCTCAAAGTATCACCGTAACGAAACAAAAGTTTGACATTAAATTTTTTTTTTTTTTACCCGAGAGGCCTTGGCGTTCTAGAAGAGATCGGTTTGGTTTGGTGTGGTGTTGAGGTTGACGAAGACTGACCTTGACTGTGTTCGTTATTTCCTCCGTATTGAAAATACTTATCAGCTGTTCCTGAACTAAACAAGCCATTATTAAAGTTCATAGATCTTGACTTTTGACTCGTTTTCACTATTAGCAAAATCTGTAGATAAGAAAATTCGCGTTTTTCGTTTTTCCCAGAAATTTGATGCCTTTTTATGTTTTTTTGATGGAAAATTATAATTGGTTGGAATTTTTTTTTACATAAACATCTAATGTTGTACAGATTTAAACCAAAAATAAAATTATAAAAAATTTTAATTTTAATATATAAAATAATTACTATAAATAAAAAAATTTATAGCCTATTTCTAATTATATAAAATTTAATTTATTTCATAATTATTTTATATATAAATATTATTTTTTGATTTTATTAATAAAATATTAAGTTGTTTGCTATTTATCATCATTGATAATTAGTATTAGTATTAAATTAATCAATAGTAATTGTCATTTTTTATTATCTTATGTGACTAGTAATGACATATGACCTTTTATGACCTATATGACTCTGATGATTGATTATAAGTCATTTGGTTATTTCAAAAGATATTATGACCTTATGATTTTATAACTTGAATCTTATGTTAATATATTATATAAAAAATACACATTATTTATTTATCATATTTAAAAATTTTATAAATGGTTTTAAATAATATTTTTACTTTATTTTATTATTTCTTTATTAAAATATATATAAAGTGTTTTATTAAGTATTAGTAAATATATCATCTTTACCTAAAAAAGATGATGATTCTAAATTAGAAACAAAAGTGATTCTAATATTTATTTTGCTGAATTATCATCAGTATGATGAATGGTCTGACCACCTAATTTAAAATCTGTTTACCATTCTAAAAAAAGTAAGGTTGCATCTAGTGATACCTGACGAAATTAACTTTTTTAATATGATGAAATTGATAATTGATGAAACCAAAATCACAAAACTAGTTTTTTAACTTGATCTAAATTCCTTGAATAAAAATATATTAAAAAATATAATAATTTTATATTTATTCATATAAAAATATTAAAGAGACAAAACTTTTGACGAAATTACAATTTTTCAAAAAAGAGTTTAGTCAGGTATCACTAGTATATATAATAAAATTTTAAATGTTAGGATTATGATTATCAAAATGATATTTCATATTATTTTTCTTTTGACTTAAAGAAAATTATAATCTAATCATTAATTATTCTTGGATGAATCTCAGAGAAATTTATTACTATTGCTATAAAAAGTTAATTAAATTTTCCAAATATATTATAATATATTAATCATTAAACAGTTTTATAAATTATAATGTCAATTTTTCACGTGATAAAATTATTGTGTTAAGTTTTAATGTCATGTTATATGATTTTTTCAAATGTAGATGTAGATTATCATATTATTATTATTTATTTTTAATAATATCATGAGAATTTTTATGAAATTTTATTGATTATTTTATATATATATATATATATAATCTTTTAATTTAATTTTTTAATAAAGTTATTCCTAATTTTTTCATAAATTATTTCCTCACAATGGAAGCAATTGTATTTACTATGTAATAAATGTTATTAATAATTTTTGTGATAATAATTATCTTTTGCTATGTTTCAAATAATAAATATAAAAAATTTTATAGGAATTGCAAGTAAAAGCAAATTTAATGCTAATATCAATACTAACATCAATGCTAACACAAATAACACTAATCCCTATTAAAAACAATAGAATGATATATTTATGCTAAAAAGATTCAGAAAGTTTTTTAAATTGACAAAATAACATATCAAAACATTTTGATAGAATAAACAAATTATAAATATTATATTATTTATAATATTTATTTTTATTTTTTTATTTTTTAAAGTTAGAGGTTCATTTTTGTATGTTATCTTTGAAAGTTGATTTTAAGATTAATTACAAAAAAATAAGTCATAATTCTTCTTAAAGGTAATAATAGAAAAGGTATATAAAGTATTATGTTATTTAGCAATTAAAATAATATTAATTATTATATTGTAACAATAGTTCAAAAAAAAAATCTGATAATTTAAGTTGGAATAAGAAGTTGGTTAAAAAAATTAAAGAAAATTACAATGATGATGATAATAATAATTAATTTTCTGCTAAAACAAAAGAAAAAAAATAGTATAAATTATATAACCAACTTTTATAAAAAAAAAATATTATAAATTTATTAATCAATTGATATTTATTATTTTTTAGATAATGTTTCTTCTTCTCCTTCTCCTACTTCACCATCATCGATACCTTTTATTTAGAATATGATGAAAATTTAGGTAATTTTTATTGGTTTTTTTTAAAAAAAAAATAATAAGACAAAATATTTGAATTTAATTTAATGAAAAAGTTGAAATAGTCAAAATTATATCATATTACATGATTTTATATATATAAAAAAATAAAAAAACAAAATATATACGATCTCAGTCAATATCGCTCCAATATATATGAAACAACTACCATTCGATTCCTTTGTTGCTAAATAGTAATACCCACTTTTTCTCGTTGGATTTTTTCCAAGAATTTTTACTTAAAAAAAGTGCCCATTCAATAGCGACCACAGCTTAGCTTGCGAACAAACAAAAAAACTCTTCTTTCAAAAATATTTCTCTCTTTGTTCCCTATACTCCTATCCACATAATATTTTTCGAAATAGTCTAAACAGTGTTATTTTTAATTAAAATATTTTTCTTCACCTCTTTTCGAAAAAATTTTTTCCATTTTTCTCTTTTTCTTTTTTGCCTACTAAAAAGTGGACATCAAGAGGTATCCCAACCAACGATCATAATTGACATACTTTGGATAAACAAATCTCACTTGATGATACCTTTCCCTTTCCTAAATAATATACTCTCTTTTGATTGGCCTCTGCCTTTCTGCAGATCCTTTGTCATCAAAGGTCACGTGCAATTCAGCATTATTTTCTACATAATGTGGTGAAGCTTGCTTCCAGAATGATCCTAATTCCTTAGTTTGATTAGCGCCTGAAAAACCATTGATTATTTCCTTGCTTTGGCTGGCTGGCTTGATTCAGTTGGTAGTAATCCAAAGTGATTTCACCTTAGATCCTTTCTTGTTGTCCTTCTGTGAATGTAGTTTAATTTTGTAGTGAATTCCTCATGATATTTTTTTCGTACCTATTAATCTATAAGTATGAAGAGCCTCTGTTTAAACCTCTTTTTTGGACGCATCCTCTTTGGCTAGATGGTCATTATATCCGGAATTAACTAGACATTTAGGTTCTTATAGAGTTGCATTTCTTTTTTCTTTTTTAATAATTTCTATTTGTACCTATTTCCCTTCTTAGAAGGGTTATTAGTGTGTTTAAATTTTTTTTATATAGAAGTTGGGATTGAAGGGCATTTAGAAATTATGTTGCTTTATTGACAACCTCATTTGAATTTCTTGTTGATGGCTCGATCATTAAATATGGATTTTTTGGTTAGGTTGGAGGAGGATTATGGTGATCAGTTGATCTAAATGGATTTGAGCTTTTATTAGCAATAGGATTACGGGAGATAGTCATTCGTTTAGCTTTTTATCTACTTTGTAATTTTTCTTTATAAATTTTATATAGTATACAATATAAATTTAATAAACTTATGGCAGTACTGCATCATTAAAAGACAAAAAAAACATTTGATTCCTTTCGACTAGACAAATCCAATGAGCTAATATTCATTAATATTAGATCAGTCTATCACGAGATATTTGCGATCAAATTTTGAAATCTGAACTCCTTTCTTCAAAGTAGAATTTATTGATTCATAATTTCAGCTGATAATACAATAGTGATTATTTCGAGATTGGATGATTCAAAATCAATATATATTAGCTCATTGGATACTTCTAGTTACGAGAAATTGAATAATAGTTGTTTTATACAAATTGGAGTGATATTAATTAATATTATACATCTTTTGTTTTTTTATTTTTTTTATATATAAAATCATATGATATAATGTCATTTCGATCATTTTGACTTTTCACCTCCATTAGTCAAAATGATTTCGACTATTTCGATCATTTTAGATCTCTGAAATAATCTATTTTGACTTCATGTATAGTTGCCACTATTCTAAAGTTTTTACAAATAAAGTTATTACTGCCTTTAAATTTGTTGCCATCATTTTCACAACTTTTACTAAAGCTGCTACCTCTAAAGTTGTTACAAAAAATTGTTGCTGCTATTTCCAAAGTTTTTGTAAATAAAGTTGCTACTACCTTAAAGTTGCTATTACCTTTGTCAACAAAGTTGCCACTAATAAAGTTGCTGCTACCTCTAAAGTTATTATTGCCTTCATCTTTACCACTAAAGTTGCTTTAAAAAAAGTAATTTTTATATTTATTTTTAATATTACATTATGAAATAATATGTATATATAATATAATAATAATTTAGAAAATCAAAAAATTGATTTATTGTACTGATTTAGAAAAATCAGGTAAATATTTATTTTTTATATTTAAATTTTAATTTTAAATATTTAATATTATAATTAATTAATTTATATAAAATAAATAATTTTTATTTTTATTTTTTATTTTATTTATTTTTTTTAATAAAAATTTATTATTTAATTTGAAAATTATATTTATTCAATGATTAAATGTATAAAATTGCAACTAAAATTACATATATAATTTAATATTTATATGTTAAAATCTAACTAAAAATAACATATATAATATATTGATTAACATATAAAATCTAACTAAAATAATGTATACAACAGTATTAGGAAATTGGATAATTTTGGATAATTTTGAATAGGTTTTGAACATAATTTTATATGTTTAAAACCTTGTTCAAAATTAAAAAATGTGTCTAAAACTTATTACTGGTATACAATATATTGATTCATCAGTAAATTTAATAAAACGTAATATTGCGTAAACTTACATTCTGTAATATTACGAAAACTTATGAGATCATCGTAAGATTACGTAAATTATATATTTGTAATATTCCGTAACATTATGATGTAGTACTACGTAATATTATAAAATGTAAACTATGCGAAAGTTTACAG